GAGCGCCGCTGGCGCGCATCTGGACTATGTATTGACAGACAGTTATATGTCAAACAATGTGAGACAGTGAATGCCATGATAAAGAATGCTAAGACAACATACTACTCATCGGTTATTTCCAGTAATGCACATAATCAGAAAGTGTTATTTAGTACGGTTGATAAATTACTCCATCGAAAGCCAGAAAAGCGCTATCCAACTACGTCATCAACGACTGAACTTGTGAATAAATTTTCAGATTTCTTCAATAATAAGATTGCTATTATATGGAAAGAACTAGCCATCGATTCTTCCCACTGTAATCAGCGAAATCAAGAGGAACAATATGCACAATGCGTTAAATTCATTAACTTTCAAGAAGTCACGGAACATGAGATTGAAAATGTTATTGATAAAGTTGGTAAAAAATCTTGTGAACTTGATCCAGTGCCCGCAAAAATCTTTCAAGGTTGTCAGAAGACTCTCTTACCTATAATTACTAAGATCAGTAATAAGTCACTTCAGTCAGGTTGTATGCCTGAGATACTAAAAGAAGCCGTGTTGAAACCAAAACTAAAGAAAGATTCGCTGGATTACGAAGAATACACAAATTTCCGACCTATTTCAAATTTAAAATTCCTGTCTAAAGTAATTGAGAAGGTTGCTGCCGGTCAGCTTCTGGAACATTTGGCTAATAACAAATTAGAAGAACCCTTCCAGTCGGCATATAAACGTTTTCATAGTGCAGAAACAACCCTATTAAAAGTACAAAACGATATTCTTGTAGCCATTGATAATCGTAAGTGTGTAGTGTTGCTATTACTAGATATGTCAGCAGCATTCGATACTGTTGATCACGAACTTTTACTACAACGAATGTTCAAAAGATTTGGGATAGATGGGCAAGTGTTGAGATGGTTTCAGTCCTATCTTCAGAATAGAACGCAAAGTGTAGTGATTGACGGTGTTAAATCTATCTCTAAAGACTTGCGCTGTGGAATCCCACAAGGATCAGCTCTCGGCCCTATACTATATTTACTATACACTTCACCCCTTGGTGATATCATCAGAGGTCATGATCTTGATTTTCACTTTTATGCAGACGACTCGCAATTATATCTCGCTTTTGAGTCAACCACTGAAGGAAAAGCGGGAGCACTGGTACAAATCGAAATGTGTGTAAAGGAGATTGATTTGTGGATGGTCAAAAATAAATTAAAATTGAATGGGGACAAGACTGAGTTACTAGTAATCAATGCACGAAATTGTCTATGCCCTGCTGTACACCATATAGAAATATCTAAGTCAATAGTTCAACCAAGTACTTCAGCACGAAACATCGGTGTAACCTTCGATCAACACATGTCCATGGATAAACATATTACCAACATTTGCAAGAACTGTTTTTTCCATTTGAGAAAAATAGCAAGAATAAAAGAGTACTTATCAAAATCAGATATCCAAACCCTAGTTCATGCCTTTATTACATCGAAACTAGGATAATTGCAACTCTTTGCTATACGGACTACCTAAATTTCTTATAGATCGATTACAGAATGTGCAAAACTGTGCTGCTCGTCTGGTGACAGGAAGCAGAAAATACGACCATGTTACTCCATTAATGAAACAATTACATTGGCTCCCCATCAGTCAACGCATCATCTATAAAATTGTTCTTATCACGTATAAATCTCTGAATGGCTCAGCTCCACATTACATTAATAATATGCTAAAACCTTACACACCATCAGCAAATTTACGCTCCTCATCCAAAGGATTGCTTACCATACCTTCAGTAAAACTAGTGAACTATGGTGAACGATCGTTCTCATATGCTGCACCGAAACTGTGGAACGAACTGCCAGAGTATATTAGAAAGAGTGAGACCTTGCCTATTTTTAAAACCAGATTAAAGACACATCTTTTTAAACAGTATTATGACTAAGTTATTATTTTAACAAGATTATTAGCAATTTTATAGTATTCTATATAGTTGTTGTTTTAATATTATCAACATACATAACATAAAGTAATTTTATATTCTTAACGAGAAGAGCATATAATTATTTTTTAGTAATTTTATAGTATAGTAATTTTAGTAGTTAATGCATGCACTATGTTCTAACACTTAGTATATATTTTTAACACTTGATGTTAAGCGCTATTGAGCTATGGGAAATGGCGCTATATAAATGAATTATAATAATAATAATAATAATAGATATCAGAGAGTTGTAATAATAATAATAATAATAATAATAATAATAATAATAAAAGCATTTATTTAAACACGATAGTAAATTTACAGCATAGCTGATGTGGTCGTGCACGTGAAACTAACTACAATATATAAATATAAACTAACATGAATACATCTAACTCTACATGATCTAACAGAACAACAAATTACATGTCACATAACTGAGATACTATTTTACACAATTCATACATATTAACTACTTAAACCTATTATGGCGTCACATTGTAACACAATTGTTATATTATTTTTGACTATCTAATTTTCAGTCAGTAATACCAAGACATAAACTGTTTAGGAAATAACTACGAAATATACTCTTTAGACATGCAAGTAGAAACTTTAATTAAGTGCTCTTAGCGAGATTAACCAGCTTTGATGTAAGATATATAGCTATGTTAAGACAAGATTTGATTAATTTAGCAATAAATAGGCATTAGCTAGTCATATATTAATTATTACTGTCTACAATTGCAACGCCTTGACAGACTTTTTGAACTTAGTGAGAGATTCAGCTGATTTAAGTTCTTTATCTAGCGAGTTCCAGAGAGTGACAGCCTGGTAAGATATGGATTTTTTTAGATAGTCAGTGTTATGTTTCGGTAGTACATAAGTGATTTTATTTCTAAGTTCATATCGATGGCCAGTTTTTATGAATAAAGACTGTAACGTTGCAGGAATCAGGTTATAATAGTTTTTATAAGCTAAGTATAAAAGTTGTTGTTTAAACATACTGTTCAGCGTAAACCACTTCACTTTTGCGAGAATATATTTTCCTGAGGTGTACCAATCCAGGCCAAAGATTACTTTCGCTGACCGGACATGTATTCGTTCCATCTCGTCGAACAAGGTATTTCCACATGAACCCCATATAAAAATTCCGTACGTGATGGAAGGTAACACAACTTTGAAATAAAAGTCTAGCTTTGCATTAATTGGCAAGAAGTACAGTGATTTCAGAAGATTGAGTTTTTGAGTAAATGACAGAATTAAATCTGAAACATGACTGCTCCACCCCAGATTACAATCAATTTGCAGCCCTAAACATCTGGTCGACACGACTTGTTTTATCTTGTTTCCTCCTAATTTGATGCATTGAAGTGGACCGATAAACTTCCTTGACTCATTAGCATGAACTCCGTTTTGTCAGGATGCGGCGTCAATCGATTTTCACAGCACCATTTGTAAAGTTTGCCTAAGATCCTGTTCAGAATATTTGCCACCAAATCGTGATTTGGCGGAATGACATAAAGTGTGGTATCGTCCGCATACATGTAAATTTCTCCTTCTTTTAAGTCGTCGATATCTGGCAAATCATTACAAAATAACGAGAAGAGAATCGGACCTAGCACAGATCCTTGGGGTACACCAAACTTAACAGGCATTGACTTCGATACATGACCATTGATCACAGTCGCTTGATGGCGATTCGAGAAATAGTTCTTTATCCACGACCAGAGATTGCCCGATAAACCTAGCTCTTGGAGTTTCCTCAGCAAGATTGGGTGAGAGATCGAATCGAAAGCCTTTCGGAAGTCCACGAAGACAACACCGACCACTAAGTTATCGTCTAATGCCCGTCTCCAATCTTCGGTCATTTTCGCCAAGAGTAACTCTGTCGAATGACCTTTCTTGTATGCCCATGCTTGATGAGTGTGGCTGAGCTCATGGTCTGCGAGGTGGGTAGTGATGGTTTGGGACACACTCGCGTGATAGACGGTGTTGCCTCTCAGTACCTACCAGTCACCTCTGGTGTGCCCCAAGGAAGCCTTGTTGGACCTCTGCTGTTTGTCATCTTTATAAATGACTTACCTGACTCTATCCAGGAACAGACGAGTTCAGCTCTCTATGCAGATGACACAAAATTATACCGCTCTATTTCGTCGCAAAGTGACTGTGAGAACCTGCAACGTGACATATCGAATCTAAATACTTGGAGTCATAACTCCAATATGAAGTTTAATGCCTCCAAGTGTAAGGTATTAACGGTCTCTCGGAAGAAATCGCCTGTACTTACGGACTACCACCTGGACAACGCCATTTTACAACGCGTTCAACAGGAAAACCACCTAGGAGTTATCGTCAATAGCAAGCTATCTTGGGACACTCACATCTCCTCAATCGTCAGCAAAGCTAACAGGATGCTCGGTCTCCTGAAGAGAACATGTCCTCTCATCACAGACACCAAAGTTAGACGAACACTTTATCTAGCTTTGGTAAAGTCGCAGCTGTGCTACGCAACTGAGGTTTGGTCACCTTCAAACGCAAAGTTGCAGACTCTCTTAGAACGAGTACAGAGACGGGCAACTCGATGGATTCTAAGAACTAAAGTTGGTGAGCTTTCATTTAACCCTTAGTATATACCTCAAAGGCAAAGCACAACAAAAAATACTGTCATATTGGACCCGAAAGGTCATAATAAAACTGTTTATTCTACCGTTTTTTTTTTTACTGGGATTTCAATAACTGGGAATGGGATTTTGCCAAAAGTTCAGGTGGGAAGCGTAACTTTATAAGGAGGTCAGATATAAACATGCAAAATCAGTTCAACAAAATGTCCGTCTTGAATGTCAAACAATTTCAGAAAGTATCCAAAAACTAAAGCAAGAAGAATTCAAGGACATTCAAGCACTTCTTTACAAATTGAAGGACATTCAAGGCCTTTCAAGTTTTGTACGAACCATGGTTATATATTACACATGTAGTAGAACCTTTTACCTAAATTATTTCCTTTCGAAGGGAATTATTGTTCTTTTCAGTAACAGGCAATTCATGTCATTCATACAACCCACTAGGTGCTACCCCACCACCTTTATACCCATTCTTGTCTATTCGTGGTCTTACACTACCATGTATATCAACACAGTGGTTGTGGTATGTCTTCAAGTATTCACACGGATTGAGAAGTCTCCTTTTCATCTTGTTCCTTAATACCCAAATCAGTTTGTTTTCCGCTCCAAGGACATTCATATCATAATCCAACTCCGCCAGAACAGACTCGTCTAAAGGTTGTGTAAGCACAAAAATATAGGTATCGTGCGAACCGAAATAGCTTACTCCACAATATCCAAGTTTTCCGCCCATATTGCATCTTTTTTCCTGACGTCCATGCCGTGTTAAAATGTAAGATATTTTACTTTTTACTAGAAATGTTTTGTTTATCATTTCAAATCCTTCGCCAAGATAAATATCCATGTTCATCATAACCACAAACCGATTTTGGAGTCTGTCGTTTACGTAATCGAAAAAATCTCTGTATTTCGGCAAGGCGTTGATGCGATGTACAAATATTTTGTGTTTGTTGTGAAAATTTTGTTCGCTCAATCTTTGTTCGGCTGATGGCTGATTAACGAGAAGATGAACGGCTGTGACTAAAGTGTGGTTGAGATTTTTCTGTAATGTTTCTTCTATTTCTTCCTGTCGTTGCCATAGTCTGGATATATTGGTCTCTGTTTGGTTTTCGTTCCAAGGTTTTTCAGTCATCAAGGGATAGTTACTTATTACATGGATACCTGATTCCTCCTTCTGATGTGGGGCGTCATGACGGTTATTCAAAACAGCTTTTAGCCAGGCGAAGCCGTATAAGGTAAAAATCGCTCCAGAAACCAAAAATAACTTGAAGTACACTTTCCGTTTAAGGATGGCCATTCCTTACAAGATCCAGGATAATTACAAAGGATTTATCTATTAGAAGGCTGAAGGACGTGTTGGTTTGATTTACCAAGTGAAGACTTATGATGCGTTTCTTCAAAATCGATCTTTCACATCAGCCTAAATATAGATTATGAATCTTTTAACATAAATAAAATATTAATCTTCTAAAGATTAATAACTTACAGTCAAACCGGATGTTCTGTTCAATTGCAATTTTGATTGCGAGATTGCTCTGAGGAAGTTACAACCGACGTGATCAAATTGCAAGTTGAAATTCACAACCAGATTTGTAAACAAAGTCTTTGATTGGCTACTAGTAGCAAAGAAGAACCAATCCATTTGCTCAGAGTATTTCATTGGTTCTTCTTTGCTACTAGTAGCCAATCAGAGACTTTTTTTACAAATCTGGTTGTGAATTTCACGTCGGTTGCAACTTGCTCACAGCAATCTAGCAATCAAAATTGCAATATTCCCAACAACATTGCAATATTCCCTGAATATATACAGAACATCCGGTTTGACTGTTACAGTTTAAAACAAAACAATTCCTTTGATCAAATTATGCTTGTCTTAACGAGATGGACTCTGCACGGTGTATCAAAAAACTGCACAGTTCGAAAATTTGAACTGTTTTTTACAGTTTCAATATTTAGTTTGTAAATTTCTGAATGGTAAAACTTGCCAATACCCCAATAATACGTTTCAAAAAAGACAAAAAAAGCTTTAGTTTTGCAGAGTTAAATTCTCAAACGTGTAAGGCACTAATAAGATGAAAGTATCACGAAATTATTTGAATAAACGACATCGCACATATGGGGGGCGAATATCCTAAAGGGGGCGATATTTCTAGGGTATTCTCCCCCCTGGGGGCGATTTTCCTAGGATATTCGCCCCCGGGGGCGATATTCCTAGGAATATCGCCCCCTTTTGAGAGGGGGCGATTCTCCTGGGGAGGGGGGAAAGTCATTAATGTCATAGGGGTGGAAATGCCAGTGTCAAGTTTGGAAATGAGGTACTAGAAATGGGACAATCTCATACTATGTAAAGTGTATTACGATATTACAGTTTATATGGCTAAGCCTGGAATTTTACTTTTCTCACGAGGGAATTTACCTTGTCAGTTGTCATGTAATGACAGAGTCAGAGACTAAGCCACATTATCTAAATCACTCAAAACTAGTTGCAAAGAAATGTGAAGATGCTCGCCATTCTACCCTGTCGAAACTTTAATATCCTAAAATACTCTTAACGGATTGAAATAGAAAAGGATAAACAGTAATTAAAAGTGTTCGAGGAATAACCCCATGGCCATGGCTTACAATTTTCCAGAAATTAAGTAGTGAATTGTAGCAAAATGGCGATTTAACGATTTAATGAGATTTGGCGACCAACAAAAATACAACATGTATAGTGCCTGGTAATATACGCCATTTTACATAATTACATTAGCATCAATCTAGACAGTGTAACAAACTTACAAAAGCACATCAGACAACTAATAACATCTTAATACACTTTCCAAGGACTGATCCTTCAACATTTAACACATACAGCTATAGATTTCCATGTACGACGATCATTACAACTGTATGTGTTGCATAGCGCGTTCTCATAAGCCTGTGTTGCATAGCGCGTGTTGCATAGCGCGTCCTCGTAAGCCTTATTTAGAAGCATGCAGTCCAATATCTCTATGATGAAGGTCACAACTTAAAATGTTCAATTGGTCTTACTAGCTCTAATAAAGTAGGCCTAAGAAATCTGAAAAGTAACAGTCTTTGCAACATTTCGCAACGAAACTTTGGAATATTACTAATTTTGTGCTGCTCTTTCAAGCTGTGATGAAATTTTTGTCTAGATCAAAATTTAGTCTATAAGTATAATGCAAATGGCCCATTAGATCCAAGTATATTCGTGTCAATATGTTATTGGTAAAAGGTCAAGTTGTAGTATAGAACATTAATTGGTGATGAAGCCGAGCTTTAAAAAACCATGGTATACACCTACCATGGCAAGTGTACCATGGATTTTTAAAACTTATGCACCATCAAAATTTTTTTTTGAATATTCTACAAGCATTCTGCAAGCATTGGGCTGGTATCAAGTATTCTACAAGTATTCTACAAGCATTCGGCTGGTATCACCAAATTGGAGACTAGACGTGAAGATCTATGTTTGAAGACACTCACGAAAATAACCAGAGGTGGTCCGCTTACACAACACGTGACACAGACTAGATCGAACGAGCATAATTATTTTATTAGATCATTAAATAATTTATCAACTTATAAATGTCGAACCGATCGGTTTAAAAATAGCTTTTTCCCAAATACAATTAATATCGCTAATAGTAAATAGTGACTAGTGAGACTTGATTTTAACTTTGTTCTAACAACCATTGTAAATAATCTTATATTATTATAGTATTTTAATGTAAGCACTTTGTACTTCACTTTATGTGCGAATTTGTGCTATTAAACATCATCTTATCTTATCTTATCTTATCTTATCTTATCTTATCTTATTCCAAGAATGTGACGCTCGATCATGGGCGCGAAGCCAACATCGTTGCTGCCTGACGTATATACAAAACTAAAGTTCTTTTTTATATAAAAGAAGTCACAATTATATTGTGAAGTGCATTGTTTTAAGAGGTAGAACTTTTTTATAGAACCTGCATATAGTTTCATTGTGAGGCAATGAAGATCTGTGTACAAGAATTGCGTTTTCAAGTATGAAAGCATATTATATACAACGTCTCAGTTATTCGTACAAAAACTACGCAATAATATACCTAGGCTATGAGGCGCCAAATATGACAAAATAGATCATAGTTGTTTGATATATATTACTGCAAATATATACAATATAACTCGTGATGAATAGGTTACTCTTCCAAATATATAAATATTGAAAGCGCGTGATATACATTACAAATCATGGTTTATATCACAACTCGTGATATAGATCACAATTCACAATGCAGCTCGTGATATAGGTTACAAATCATGGTTTATATCACAACTCGTGATATAGATCACAATTCACAATGCAGCTCGTGATATAGGTTACAATTTCGCGTTCGGAATTACTTCATCTTATGACCCATATAGTGGACGGAAGGCTATTTTATATTCCGGGGGGGGGAGACATTACATTGGACATATTCATTGTTGATGCTTCGCGCCTTCGCTTCAATTTTGATGACAATGGCCGACACGCGTGGAGATGTCGAATCTGTTGTTCAAAATGTGGTAAACAGTCCTCAGTTTCGGTCGCTTGTAGCAGATGTTATCGAAAGCTCAAATTACACCTATCAATTACCAAGTAAAAACTTTACATACAGTACATGCTAACTTCAATTACGATATTTCTACAATGGATTTACATAAAAAAGACACAAAACAACGCACGAATAATACGCGTGCACCCTTTTATACAATATTTCACGGCATGGTCTAATTTCAACCAGTATGGAATAAAGGCGATGTGCACGGCGCACATGTGCCGTGCACAAAGGCTGCTATCGGTGCACAATAATCCCTCTTTGGTGCACATTGGTGCACACAAT